AAGACTGACTGTGTCCTTGGCTCCCTCTGGGAGCGGAGCCACTGAAGCAGAAACACACAAGAACACACAGTGGCCATGACCAATGGTGGGTGGCTTTGTTCTTCAGACAAGTAGTTTCCAGACAGACCAGAGCACGCTGCCTTCGGTAAACAGCAACCCGCATGCTTGGAGCAGAGTTCTGCCAGAGACACCTCAACTCTTCACCACTCTTACTCCCGCAAGGGATGCAGCCTGTACTGTTGCCAAGTCATCCAGGGTGTGTGACCAGAGGGAGGGCCGGGTTCCAGGTTAGACGCTGGCTTCTTGGTGGATGAGCTTAGGCGAGGAGACCTGTTGTGTCCCTTCCCATTCTCCACTCCCATTCATTGGCACTGACTTGGTTTCTCCAGACACGGGTTTTATAGCCAGAAGCTAACCGATGCAAAAGCAACCACTAAGAGGACACAGGCTGAAAAATCTAACAAGAGAATCCAGAATCAGATTGAGGGATGCAGGGAGGACAGACAGCCACTCGGGCAGGAAGGGGAGATTAATCAACGGATATGTGATATCAGACGGACCTCTCCTCAGCAGCAATTAATAGGGAAATACAATGTCCCCTCCCTTTTGCATGGAAAATCTACCGGGGTTTCTTGTTTTGGTGGAAAGCAAGCTTCCCTCTCCTGGGGACCTCAGAGTGCTTGAAGGCATCAGACCTGACAAGTGGCCACTGAATAAAGAAATGAACAAGACTTAGACTCCTCTCCTTTTCTCTGAAGAGGTAACCATCATGTCTGGCCACAGAGCATCAAGGACGGGGAGGGCAGGTAGGTGCCTGATATTTTTTAAGAGAACAGAATGGTAACAGTCATAGTTACCCTTGACTTGGGACTAAATGAGACAACTCTGCCCTAGGCTGCGACTTCCTTGTTGTGACAATGGTGTGACAACAAGGGGTCACTGATGACACCTTCTGGTCAGGTCAAGTTGACAATGGATGAGGAACTGGCCTGTAAATTGAAGGGCACGCCCCACATTGGGAGGATTCTAATCTTGATCTTGCCTGGTACAAGACCCTGTTCATTTTTTAGGACTGAAAAGAGAATTCTACAGATACATCATCATTTGTCCTTTGCTTCAACATGCACGCCTCAGGAGTCAGCCACAGTGATAGGCATCAGCCTAGCTCCAGTCAGGGCTGACTCCTTGCCTTCCATCTGGGTCCCTAGGATTGTGCACACACATTAAGCAAACAGTTCTCACTGCTAGGGAAACCCTTCAGCTTTGCTTGTTGAGATTGTCCTCAAGCATCTGCGTGCCCCTCCATGGCTGACAACTGGGGAAGAGCAGGTTCAGTAAGATTAATGGCACCGATTTCAGCCATGGCTGACTCTCACTGAACACTGATTCCAGACCAGGTACTAGATAAATGGCATAAACACACCTTCCCACTTAACCCCAAGCTAGCCCTGTGTGGCAGTGTTGGTATGGATGGCAGAACTCCCATTTTAAAGATGAGCAGACTGAGAAAGAGGTAAGCCATGCACCGAGTCCACCCAGTAAGCAAGTGAGTGAAAAGGAGGACAGATGGGCACGACAAAAGGACATGGACACGGTGGCTGGAGTGCCACCCGCGTGGGCTGAGCTCTACATGGTGGGCGGCTGGAGTGCCACCCGCGTGGGCTGAGCTCTACAGCAGAGGACGAGGTGGACTCCTGCTCCTCCCCGTGACCCCTCCAGAAGGAATCTTGATCGTGTTCAGTGCCCGTGTTCCCTGCTGTTCTCTAGATGATGAAGGGCTCCGGGAAGGGGAGGAGAATTAATTAGTTCCTAGAAAATAGATCAGGGGCCTGATTCCTCCCCCGCAGGGAGCTGGTGGCTTATGGTAGAGACTAAACGGGTCCCAGACGGTTGTATCCTCCATATCTACACAGACAGGGGTTGGGGTGCGTCCCTAAGGTGCTCCTCGTCTATCTTACCCTCCTAGTCGCTGGATTACAAGGTGACCCACAGGCATGCCCCTAGCGTGTAGAGGACAGGACTGGGCTACCAGTCGAGGCGCTGAGCTTCTCAGACCTGTCCCTCTGCTCCACACTCACACGGTCTCATCCTGCATGTCTTGGGTCTTGGGACCTGCTACCCTTAGAGGCCAGGGAGAAATGCCAGAGGACATAAGTTCAAGTTCAAGCTCTCTCTTTTCATGTACCAGCTGTGTGTGACCTTGGCTGCACTGTTTTCTGTTTTCTTTGAGTCGTATTATATTTATTTATTTTCACTTATCCATGTGTCTGTATATATGTGGGAAGGTGACATGTGTGTGGAGGTCATAGGACAGCTTATGAGAGTTGTTTCTCTCTTTCTGTCGTATGGATCCCAGAATTGAACCCAAGGCAGGTTACTGCCGTGATAACATGAGCTGGGATCATGCAGTCCCGAGACAGACCCCTGGGTATGAAGAAAGGACAATGCTTGGATCTATTAACAAGATAGGAGCTGGGAAGGAGGCCAGTCACCAATCACAGGAGAACCCAGGGCAGACAGCTAGCTGCCAATGCAGCTCACACAGGATCTCTCACGCATCCTGCACTATGACCTTGGGCAAAGGCATCCATCCATCCCTCCCTGAACCATCTCCTCATTAGAGAGCCTGAGAAAAATAGCAATTATCTGATTCAGTCTCAGAAAGTCTTTAAATAATTAACATTTATAGGACAGCTTTGAATTCCTCAGATATGAGCTGTGGTGAAAATATTATTATTGTTTTAAAAAATAATATGTCTCCGATCCCAGGCTACTGTGGAAGGGCCTGTTATCTTCTCCCTGGGGGTAGCTGTTTGCAAGCTGATTAATTAAAACTCGTTTTTTCTGACTTTCTAATTTAGATGTTAATAAATTCAATAATTTGATCCATTTGTTGTTCTAGATAAGGTCCTTTGGGAATAACTTCTCATTTATGATAGTGACCTGGTGAGGAGTCTCTTAAACTGTATAATAAATGCGTTTGATACAAAGCAGCAGAAGCAGCAGTATGGCTACGGCAGGCAGGCGCACAGGCTCCCGAGGACGCAGACCCTGCCCAGCACAAACAGCACCCGTGAGACTCCCATAAGGAATGCAATATGTGTTTCGTCTCATTTTTCCGTTTAGTATCTCAACCTCACCACTCACAGTAATTGGCTTTGCCTCGGTCTCCATCCAAAGGAGAGGCGACGCCGAAGGAAGCGGCTGCTACTCTGTCCCTTACCCCTTTTCTGGTCTCTGTCCTCTCTCGGGTGCAAAAGGCAGGCCGTGTGGGAGAAGAGCCAGCTTGAGCCAGCAGGGGCTGGGCACCCACACAGGTGACAGGGGAGAGTCAAGTCTAACATTTGTGCGGCGATGATGCCTGGGTGCCGGGGGTAGTTGGAGACTCGATGAAGAGGTGGGCGTCTGCTGTTTTCAGGACATCTCTCTGTAGCCTCCAGCCCAGGACTAGCTTAGTCTTGAGACCCACCAGCAGCTCAGATCCCCATTGGATATTTATTATGGAACATACGTTCTAAGTCCTTCAGAGAGGGCTCAGCTCTTCTCTACATGTGCCTATGGCTACAGCTTCTAAATCTTAATTTCCCCCAGAAGCCCATGTGTTAAAGCCTGTCTCCCACTTGGTGTTCACTGAAGGCGGTGAGGCGGGCCCCAGTGGCAGGTCTTTCAGCCGTTAGGAGTGTGCACTTGAAGGGGAGTACTGTAGGACTCTGGTCTCTTGTTCTTTCTCTGGTCTCAGCAGTGAGGTAACTGGCTTGGTTCCCACCTAAACACAACAAGCTGCTACTCTGTAGGTCCCACCTTGTTACCTGGATGTGGGTTCCTCTTCCTGCCTTAGGTCTCACTAGCCTTCTGGTTCTCCTCAGTCAGGCTAACTTCAGGTTCCTAGGAAGCCACAGTTGCCTGACTGGCATTACGTATGGATTCGGCTCTGGCTCTCTTCTGCCTGCATAGAGATGCCAACAGCTCTGGTGCTACCATTGGAGTGTATTGGATGGCTTTATAATTCCCACCCTTAAAGGATGCCTCTACTGGCAAACTACTAAAATGAATGTCATTCTGTGACCACAGGCCACTGGCATGGAGCAGGTTGGGGACACACACCCCAGCACCTCTGTTTCCTGACAGGTGGCATCGGTGGTCCCGTGGTCTGCTCTCTCCCCGTGAACTTTTCCTCAGCTCTGGGTTTTCTGGGCAGATACAAATAGCATACCAAGAGAGTCAGTGTCTGGGTGAGGAGAGAGATTTGCGTTTGCACATGGATGGTGTCACCAAACCATCTACTGAGAGCAGAGACGAGAAAAGTTCCTGTGGGCGTGGCCTCCGAAAGGGCAGAACCAGAGTTTGCACATGGCTTCCCTCTGGCTCTGCGTGAAGATCTGCCTGCTGGCATCATGGAATGACCCTGACCTCTGCGTCCCTGGGTCATCCTGACCTCAGGCCCCTCAAGACATATCCAGACTTGCTACTGCCACATGCTCACCCACCTTCTGTCTCTGCAGACCTGACTGTGTAATGGGGATGGTTCTAGTTCCCCTGGACACAAAGTCAACTTTGTGACCAGGCAGATGTGAGAGGGGCTTCCCCACTCCCCTCTTCACTTGTCTCCTGTCAGGGACCCTCGGGAGCTGACCAAGTGTCACCTGAACATTCCCCTCCTTCTCTGATTGCCTTACCTGGCTGTTTCCCATGGGTCTTTCAGGCCTTTTCCCTCCCCTACTACGGTCTCCCCAGTGCTCCCAAAGCCCTGCATGGACTACTCTGTAGCTCTAAAGCTCTTCTCCTCTGCCTTGGCCACTCAGGTAAGAGGTGGAAGGAGCACATGTTTGAACACATAGACTCTAGAAACAGATTGCCAGCTCTATCACCTAGTAACTTTGCAACTGCGGGCAAGTTACCTCACTCTGTCCCTCAGTGCTCCCTCTCTTAAATGGGGTTAGCAATAATTCCTACCACATGAACTAAATGAACACACACACATATATGAATGGACATATATATATAAATGAACATATATATTACATGCATATACATGTTGCATGCATATGTATGTTGCTTAGAATATCATCTGGCACACTGTGGTTGTCATGCATGCATTTGCGATCATTGTTAGCAGTGTGTGTAACCCCTGAAGACAGAGACAGCACTCCATGTCAGTGCCTCATAGAAAGGTTTAGGAGTGATACAACGCTGGACTCAGAGTCTGTCTGTGTGATCACAGGTGAGTTAACGATGAAGGTCGGTACCATTATCTGAAACTTTGACATAAGATTTGGAGTATCTTCTTAGGGATAAGGAATTTGCTTATGAAGTTCTCATCTGTGTGGTGTCCACCCTCTGGTAGACACTGGACCAATGACGGCTGCAATCTTCATTATTATTGTTGAATGAATAGAGGCTCTGTAAGCCATAGCCCCTCCAGAGCCGGAACAACCCTGGTAAAACCTTCAGGAAATCTGCCCAATCTATGCACGTCCAGTCACTTGAATTTTAGGGCCCAGTGCTATATGGAAGCATGGACCCATTATCCAAAAGTCATCCTCAGTTTCAGGTCAGCGACTGTGGAATATCCATACCAGCTTGGCCTTCCGTGGTACACAGGTCCCACGTGTGTGAAGTGACCAGTGCTGATTTTAGACAATAGTTCTCATCCCTGGAAGTCCCGTGTTTCATGTTACTTTTCTTCTGGATCACTCTGCAGAGGAAGACCAAGAGCTCAGAACTCCGGATGCTAAGTCCGGTGTCCCCGAAGATGACCAGTCTCCAGAAGCAGCCCCATGCTCACTCCTGTTCTTCTGAGACACATACGACAAGAGAGGAACAAACGAGTCATCTTTACATTCAAGTTTTGACTGAAGAACACCGTGCAGTACTCGTGGTTGAATGAACTCTTGGTCTGACTCTTCATTTTCACATAGTTGGATTCCTACTCGCTGAACTTTGGAGGTATTCCCACCATTTGTCCTGGAAGAAGGGAATGGTTAGGCTTGCCCTATTGCATGCCTGTCCCTTGACACGGAGGGGCACATCTTCGGTGTCCAGTATCTGAAGGAGAATGAGAGATGTGTGGGGCAGAGATATACCCAACCCACAGTCTGCAGTCAAGTGCAATCTAAGTCAGTCAAGTTCTGAGGAACTTAGGCTCACGAGCAAGATAGAAATGCCACTACTTCTCAAGCCGTTTGTCAAGCAGAATACATGACAGAAGCTGACTAGTATAATATCTTGAAATACCCCATTTCACCAAATCTATTACTTATTGAATGGCTACCATAAAACAGATACAGCTTCTGGAATATTCCAAATGAAACACAGGGGTGTGCATATATGAGCACGCGTGCGCGTACACACACACACACACACACACACACACACACACACACGCGCGGTAGGTTAAACATCTAGAAGAAAAAGTAGATCTGTATACCTGTTATATTGAATGGATCTTTATCCTCACCCATCTTCTCTCAACTCTAGTGAAAAATGAGGCCTCTGGTTCTTCTAGCCACTCCCAAGTAACACGCATTCAGTACTACATGACTGACAGTCACGATCTTGCTGTAGCAGTGAAGATGCCAGCCTCGAGGCCTAGGCAGGATTCTGATCTTGGCCAAAGGCTTCTTTGCTGCCCCTAGACCAGGCCTGTGGAGGAAATAAGGCTGGCTAGGAATCTTTCAAGGAGAAGAGGTTGGGTCACTCCTGAATTCCTCTGGACTTAGGGAGCATTTCTGTCTTGTAGATATTTCCAGGACAGCTCCGGGTCTGCCTTGAACCACAGGCTCTCATGTCATTAGCTTCCTTGACTTGTGTACAAACTTCCCCATTTGGGTTGACTCTTTCTCTCTCCCTGGCCTTTAAGACACTCTCTTAAGATAGGGTCAATCTCCCACCTAGATGACTCCCTTGACAGGATCCACACTGACCTTCCACTAGCAAGAGGGAGTTCATAGAAATCACCTCTAAGCCTTTTGCCCTGGAAGACCCCAGGATCACAAACTGTGGTGGTGACTCTTGGTTGTCAGCTTGACTGTATCTGGAATTAACGAAAACCAAAGCACAGCTTGGCAAACCTGTGAGGGACTTTTGCTTAATTATTTGAAGTGGAAAGATTCACTTCTAATCCGGATCTTTGAGGCAGGAAGGCACACTTCTAATCTGGCCGCACCTTCTTCCGGAAGCCTATATAAAGGACGTGGCAGGAGAAAGTTGCTCTTTGCCTGCTTGCTCTTGCCTTGCTTGCAAGTCACGATGGCTATTCTTGGTTGTCAAGTTGACTTCCCACCAGACCTTGAGGTGGGAAGACCCACCTTTAATCTGGGTCTTCTGGAAGCCTATATAAGAAAAATGAAAGAGGAAGTGTTGTTCTTTGCCTACTTACCCTGGTCTTATCAGTCCATCCATTCCTTAACTGGCATTGGAGCCTGCTTCTTTGGGATTCCAGCATATACTGAAGACCAGCTGAGAAACCCAGCCTCGTGGGACTGAACAACTGTTGGATTCTTGGTCTTCCCATTTACAGCTAGTCGTTGCTGGGCTGCAGCCTGCAGGTCGCAAGTCATTCCCACACATATGTGTGTATGTATATGTATACATACATGTATGTATTATATCTGTGTGTGTATATATATATATATAGAGAGAGAGAGAGAGAGAGAGATTCATTCCATAAGTTCTGTTACTCTAGAGAACTCTGAGTAATGAGTCAATTGCTTCACAGGCATTAGAGCCTACTTCCAAGGAATTCCAGTGTATCCTGAAGAGCAGCTGAGACATCCAGCCTTGTAGACTCAACAACCACTGGACTCTTGGACCTTTCATTCATAAGCAGCCACTGATAGATTATCTGGACCACAGTCGGTAAGTCATTCTAATAAATCCCCTTTCTATATAAGGGGAAAGATTCACTCTCTAAGCTCTGTTACTCTAAAGAACCTTGACTAATACAGTGACCAATCACATTGGTCAGAACCCTGTGTTTCAGGAGACTCAGTCCATTGTCTGATACTCCCCACAATCAGTGTAGGGAGCCATACTGACCTTTCCCGGTTATCTGTTCCACACCTTCTACCTGGACATGAGGGGCAGAGGATGAACCTCTGCTCCCTGTACTGGGTAGGGTTCAAATAAAAGAGCAGAAACCTTATTTGTTTTAATCAGAAGAGATAAAGGGTCTGTGCCTCTGACCAGCCCTGTGCCGTACACATTGTCACACCGATGCCAGAAGATAACTGTGTGCTGAGCTTTGGTGAGGAGACTGGAGCTCCGTGTTACAATTCCTGGACTCTTCCCTTGGCTGGTTTTAATCTTTGTCACAGTAGCACACAACCATGACTGTAATGGCTATCAGGGAGTTCCGTAAAGTCTTCTAGAGATTTCCAGAACCTAACAACTGGGAGTTTGGGAACCTTCTAAATGTGCAGCTGGAGTCAGAGAGGGTGATCTAGGCCTCTGTCACTCTAGGTTGACAGCAACTCACTCACTTAGGCATTAGAGGCTGATAGACCAGAGGATAAGAGTCCCGTTTGCCGCCCCTGGCCTACCCCAGACTCTCTTGTTTATTTTCACAGTAATAAGTCCAAAGATCATGGCCTGTTTGTCTTGAGATGAGGCTGCCCAGGGAACAGAACTGTCTGGGAAAAACCATGTTGGCCAGAGCATCCCTCCTGCCACCATGATGGAAGAAAAAGAAGGATCTCACTTGCGCTGTGCCTCTGAATTTGGTTGCAGATCTTATCGACTGGTGTGAACTGTAGTCAGAGCTCCGTCAATGAGAGGGCCAGAAGCACATGCTACGTTTCCTGAGCAAGAGAGAGCAGAGGTCACTGGGCAGTCCGCCTATGCACCATGGAGGGAAATCCCCAGATCCACTCTCTACTTTTCAACTACCACACGCCTACTATGGAGGAAGGTTTGAGACACGTGTGCCTGGGTTTGGAGGCACTGTGTGACTGCACGTGATCTCCTTCCTCTGACTGATGTGTGAGTTTTAGGCCTGGGAAGGTTTGAATGAAAAAGTCCCTCTATAGGCTCAGGTAATGTCTCTTTGTAGACCTGTTTGGGGAGCTTTAGGTGGTACAGCCTTGCCAGCCGAAGAAGAGCGATCTTTGAGAGTTTAAGTCGCACTCTGTACTTGCTGAGAGCTCTCAGCTCCTGGGGTGACTCTCATGCCTACTGCTTGCTGTCATGTCTCCTGCCATGCCTCCCTGCCGTGATGGACCCTCACCCTCTGGAACCATAAGCCTTCTGTGAGTTCCCTTGGTCATGGTATTTTATCACAGCAACAAAAAAGAAACTAATGCGACCCCCAAGTATCTGTTTGTAGTGCGTTAGGTCGACAACAACCAAGGCGACAACGAACAGCTGGAATAATGAAGAGACTATGGAATCTGAGTTTTAACCCCCAGTTTTGTCTCTATGAATAACAGAAGCGATTGCAGCCCCTGGTGCTCAGGCAGGACCACAGGTGAGGCCTTTCTTTCATACTCCTATTTCCAAAATCTGAAATCACTAGAGCAATCAATGAAAAGATAAATATTCATTTGGTGAAAAGATACCATTACACAGTAAGTTAATGGTGGAAATTTCTCTGTATTTACCGCTTGTCAAAACAGAAGAAAGAAATTCCAAAGTGTTAGAAGCGATTGTTAGTTGAATGCCAATTATGAATGCCAGGAGACTACCTCGGAAGCATTTGGGGAAATCTCTGGAGAATTGTAATTTGCTTCACTCACTGTTTCTACAACTGTCTTCTTTTTGTACAATAAGACTGAGCTGTAAATTATGGGTATGGCATGGCTTGTTGAATTCTCTCCAGGGGCCTGACAGGAGCATTTCCTGTCTTCATCGGATGCTGCTCTCCCTGGTAGATTCTGCTTCCTGCATGTATTATTGCTCTCTGAATATGTAGTATCCCGACTGAATAGCCTTGAACAATGGAGATATTGATCACCTGTCCCATCAAGAAGTTACACACAGGAAGTAGTCAGCTTGCTTAATTCCTTCCATGTGATGAAGCCACCAAGGGCCAGTTGCTTTGTGCTCTTCTCTGCGACCCACAGTGTCAGCCTGGATCCCACAAAGTGGAAGATGGCTGAGAATCCCCAGGTCCGTCATGATCACGTCAGAAAGGAAAGACAACATCTTTGCACAACTCTCCCTGCTAGTTCTTTAACCAAGACTGGATCACATGAGCACTCAGCTGCAAGGAAGCCCGCTGGCATGTCAGGCTGTCCCATGCACACATTCAACTACAGCTGAAGGAGGTTGGGGCAAAATCTAGGCTCAGTTGTATGACTCCTACCTCAGGCTACTTCCCACAGTATGGCCCACACTCTGCACATAGTGGGGACTCAACAAATGAGAAGCTAAGAAATAGGACATCTAAGCACCAGCAGAGGCCGATGCTGGCTCAACCCCATCTCTGTTTCCTGGGGACTACATCTGATTTTGTCACAGAAGCCTCCTTAGACCAAGAACCAGGCCTTATTTTCCTTCCTGGTGATGCTGAAACAGAAGCATGTCTGTGTCGGCCGTGTAAAGCAAAGCAGCCCCTTGGAGTTGGCACGGGACACATCAGATACCAAATTCTCGCCACAGAGGAGATGTATTTACCCAGAGGGGCAAGAGGGGGGATTGGGGTCTGCAAAGGCAGACAGCAAGCAGCAATAGGAGCAAGGAAAGTCAGGGTTTGTTGCTGTTGTTGTTTTGTCTTGTTTTAGTTTTGTTTTGTTTTAGTTTTGTTTTGAAGAGACGGACTTTTAAGGGAAAGGGGGGAAATTTGTGCTAGGGTGCGTTGATAAGTACTGACTGCACATGTTAGTGCAATAATGAATTTTGAGTGTTGGACCTTGGTGTTTTGTCTCAGGAATGAGTCAGTGGCCAAATAAGGGAATAGACCTTGGGGGCTAGCTTTAGGGTTGCAACCTAATGGTTTTAGCAAGGCAGAGAGGAAGGCAGGAAAGGGTAAAATTGTTGGCACCATGTTTGCCATGCCCACGCCTGTTAGAGAGCCCTTGCTGCCTTGTTCTTATTCTCAGGCCATTCCAGAGACTGACGAGCTCAGGCAGAAGAAAGCCCAGAAATCCCTGTAGACGAGCTACCGCCACAACCAAAGCTAACCCCTCAGAGTTAGGAGCCTCGACCTCAGATCTGGAAATAGAAGTGCTTTGTTGGCATGACTGAGACACAGAGGAGACTGCTCTGAAGTTAAAACGGGCCCTTTGGAAGAGCTGATTCCAAATGGCTTTCAAGAGGAGAGAACGGTAGTTCAGAGGCAGAGTAAGGCAAGCTACCTGAGAACCCCATCTCCAGCAGAGACACAAAGACAGGGGCAGTCCCTTGGCCCTCAAGATGTCAGTAGGGGCTCACTAAAACAACCCAGCCTCTCCAACTTGCAGTGGCTAAGAATCTCATTTAACTGAGGGGCCCTGTGGCCTTTGACAAGCTCTCTCCTTGCGTAATTCCAACATCTTCTAAGAAGCCAAGAAGAAGTAGGGATTTCACCAGGGACCTCATCAAACAAGCAGATCCAAAAGGAATTTTGCCCTCTTACTGGGGGGTGGGGTAAATGCCCCAGAGATGAGTGCCCCTAGAGGGCAGCAGACCATTTGAGCTGAAGGGATTACAATGCTAGTTGCTTTAAACCCAGGAAACCAAAGTGAGACACAGGTTCTGCGGCTCATTGGATAGGCAAATGAGCCCGCTTTCCACTCCTAATTAGCTACATAATCTTGAGCACGTTGGTAAGCTTC